TGTGTGCTAAAATTAGCAACGACATCCTTTCAAACTGACAGAAACACACAAAACTCAATTTTCGCCACTAAACAAAAATAAAAGACCTTTAATTTCAAACCAAAATTAATTTAAATACAGTCAACAAACACCAAACACACTTTTGACTGTAATTAATACGGCCTGAAATTAATTATATTCATTTACTTGTTTAGCGTCACCATTTCTCTTGTATGAACCGCAGTGGTTTTTAGCTGGCCAGGGAGCAGGAAGACTCCTGATTCGCGACTTTGACGCGCCCAGTCAAGTCGACCAAGCCCAGCAGCTGATGGGACCCAGCAGCAGTAGCAGCAGTTGTTCAAACAGTCCTTTTCAGGGCTAACTTCCGAAAGTCATTCGATCACCACTCTTCAAGGCTCCACTCACTTCACTCTTTGCCACCGCCTTCCCTCTGAGACGCCAGCTCACTCCTTCAGCTTCCAGCTCACTCCTGCAGCTTCCAGCACTTCTGCAGCATCCAGCTCACTCCTGCAGCTTTCAGCTCACTCCTGCAGCATCCATCACTCCTACCGCTTCCAGCTCACTCCTGCCGCTTTCAGCACTCCTACCGCTTCCAGCTCACTCCTGCAGCTTCCAGCACTCCTGCAGTTTCCAGCTCACCCCAACAGCCTCCAGCGGCCTTCCAGTTCACCCCTGCGGTGCTCTACTGACATCCCGCTACCTATTCCTGCATCCGCTGATGATCCTATCCAGTGCCCACTGACGTCCAGAGCCCGTTAACGTCTGGACACCGTGCCCGAACAAACGACCTCTGTCGTCTTACCATCCACCGTTCGCAAATAAAGACACAATTTCCATTGTCTACAACGGACCATCTGTGTTTGTCATCCTTCTTTTCTATTGCCATATCCTTGCCTTTGTGTCCCCTTTTTAGTTGTACGGTCGATTGGCACTCACACCTCTTGGCTTGCTGCAACAAGTGGTGACCCCGACGTGATCTATGGACACAGGCAGACGGCTAGCAGAGAAGATGGCGGAACACACCGAAACAGAAATCAACACATCAGCCGCCCTGATACAACTACCGCCATACATACAACTCGATCAACACCAGGATTGGTTTATTCAACTTGAGGTGATATTTTCAGCCCGAAAGGTCACACGACAGGACACTCAGTATGTCTCCGTGGTACAAGCCTTACCAGCATCGATCGTTGAAGAAGTGGAAGACATCCTTCTCAATACTCCGGACCAACTCCCATACACCTGCCTCAAAGAAGCCATCCTCAAATGAACTGGACGTTCGGACGAAGACCTCATCAGAGACTTATTCTCTAATGTGTCTCTCGGCAATAGGACACCATCCCAGCTCCTCCGCCTGATGAAGAGCTGCCTCGGGAACAACACCATGGCAGAACCCATCCTCTGAGGGCTATGGATGGATCGGTTACCACCGAATATAACACAAGTTCTAGCCCTGGTACCAGTAGAGACGCCCTTTGACATTGTGGCCGACTCAGCCGACAAAATATACTCCCAGGCTCACCAAATTTCACCAGGTTGAGAGCCACGGAAACCACACACAATGCCTCAAAGAGGAGATGACCCAGCTACGCGCAGAGTTGAGAGACCTGAAACTCTCCCTATGCTGGAGGCAGCGAAGCCCAGCAATTTTGACGCAAAATCGGAGCCGTATACCGCAGCTCAAGTCCAAGAAGAAGAAACAGTGTGGACAAATGTTGGTACCATCAAACCCGGTGACCGAGCCGCAAGTGCCACCCTCCCCTGCAGACGCAATAAGGCCCAGGGAAACGAATAGACCGACAGGCAGTGGCACGATGATCCCTGTCGGTACTGGCCTGCGTGTGGGACCGTAACAATGGCCTCAAATTCCTAGTTGACACTGGCGCAGCCATCAGCGTAATACCACTCACCAACAGATTCGCCTTGAAACCCACCCCATTCCAACTTCGAGCGGCAAACGGCTCCACCATAGAAACCTATGGGAACAAGGAACTTACTTTGAATATCAACCTCAGGCATGACTTCAAGTGGTCATTCACCGTAGCTGACATCAGGACACCCTTGCTCGGTGCTGACTTCTTGGCACATTACAACCTGGCTGTCCATATGAAGAGGAGGACCCTGTCCGACAACATGACAACCATCAAGATCACAGGGATCCCATCGAGCTTCAACACAACTAGGATCAGCATGGCAACACAGCATGACCCACGCTACGTAGAAATCCTGCGCCGGTACAAGCACCTCACGCAACCCATCAAACCAACTGATGCAGGCGACCATCAGACCCAACACCATATAAAGACCACCAGACAACCAGCATATTCACGGCCATGACGACTCCCTCCACACAAATTAGCATATGCCAAGAAAGCGTTTGAGAGTTGCTGGCCGACAATATCATCTGACCTCAGACAGCCCATATGCTTCACCACTGCATCTGGTACCCAAATCCGACGGGGATTTTCAGGATCTGCGTGAATTACTGGAAACTCAATGCATCCACAGTACCCGACCGGTATCCTGTTCCGCACATCCACGACTTTGCCTCAGGTTTACAGGGGCCCGTATTTTCTCAAAATTGACCTGACCAAAGCCTACTACCAAATTCCAGTTGCTCGGAGGACATCCCAAAGACAGCAGTCACAACCCCTTTTGGACTGTTTGAATTCCTAAAAAATGCCCTTCGGAACTGTGCAGCGCAGCCAAAGGCGTTCAGAGGCTGATGGACGAAGTTCTGCGTGGACTACCATACGTCTACGCATAGATTGATGACATCCTAGTGGCTAGCAGAGATGCTGATCTCCACAAACAACACCTGGAGAAAGTGTTCTTCCGTCTAACACATTACAGCCTCCGAATCACCCAGACAAGTGCGAATTCGATTGCACAACACATAGACTTCCTCGGACACCACACAGACGCTCAGGAATCACTCCACTTCCCGATAAGATAAAAGCCATACAGGATTTCCCGATGCCCACATCGATAAAGCAACTCACGACCTTCTTGGGATGGTAAATTTTTACTGCAGGTTTATCCCGGATGCTCAAAACTCCTCACCCCCTGACAAATCTTCTCCAGAGAAAAAACAAAGCCATCACCCTGGAGGGCGACCAGGAAAAAATCATTCAAGCAGCAAAAACTTTTTAGCTAACTTTACGAAGTTAGCACATCTTAACGAAGACACGGACTCAGATATATCTAACAACAGATGCCTCAGACACTGGAGTTGGAGCTGTGGTAGAACAGGAGGTTGACAACCAACGCAAACCCATCGCATTCTTCTCGGCTAAATTATCACCAGCCCAGTCCAGATACAGCACCTTCTCAAAAGAACTTTTGGCGATATACCTTGCCATCAAACACTTCCGACATCTACTGGAAGGCCGGAATTTCACCATTTTGACCGACCACAAACCCTTGACAACTTCCCTGTCGAACAACTCGGACAAATATACGGCTCGCGAGATCAGACATCTAGACTATATCTCACAGTTCATGTCTGATATTCGTTATGTCAAAGGAAAAGACAACTCTGTCGCCGATGCCCTATCCAGATTTGATGTCAACACAGTGCAAGACAGGGCACTCAGCCAGGGCCTGATAGCAGAGGCCCAGGAATCCAACGCAACCCTCCCTGAAGTCCTAGCCAACACATCACTGCAACTGAAAGAATTTCCGGCACCCTTCAGCAACAAAATATTGTACTGCGATACAAAACTGGATCACCCCAGACCCTACATACCTCCGGCACTCAGAAGGTAAATTTTCAACCATCTCCATGGATTGTCACATCCCAGCAAGCGGCGCTACGGTCAAACTCATTGCGATCGTTTTGCGTGGCCCAACATGAATACTGACATCCGTAATTGGGTATCAACGTGCATTAAGTGCCAGAAATGCAAGGTACACCGGCACAAAATCCCGCCTGGCACATTCAGCAACCCTGACGCCTTGCGGTTCAGCCACATCCACATCGACATAGTGGGACCTCTCCCAATGTGCCAGAATTATAAGTACCTCCTCACAGTGGTTGACCGTTTCTCCAGGTGGCCAGTAGCAGTACCCATCAGAGATACCTCGGCTAACACGGTAGCAAAGACCATTCTTCAGGAGTGGATCGCAATTTTTGGTGTACCCAGCATCATCACCACACCATGCACGCAGTTTCAGTCCTCACTCTTTCAGGAATTCACTCAACTGCTCGGCGTCAAACACATCAAGACCACCGCCTACCATCCCTGTGCCAACGGCCTTGTGGAAAGGTTCCACCGAACACTAAAGGCCTCTCTAACTACAAAACATCCCACCAGCAACTGGGTAGACGAGCTACCCCTAATCCTTTGTCAATCCACCAACACACTCAAAGAAGACTTAGAATGCACTCCAGCGAAATAGTCTTTGGTACAGCACTCTCTTTACCCGGCCAATATTTCGACGACACCATACCCAACCTAACCACTGCAAGTCCTTTCACTCAGGAACTTCGCCATAAAATGGCCCAACTGAAGATACACCACCCAGGCAATCATCACCAACTATCCACGTTCCACAACAGCTTCAGGACTGCGAGTTCATTTTTTTGTCCGAAAATGACGCGTAAAGAAACCACTAACACCAACATACCAGGGTCCATTCAAAGTCTTAAAACGCTCTACGAAAACATCTCACCATTGATTGAGGAAGCCGGACGGACACCATCTCCATCGACAGAGTCAAACCAGCTTTTCTGGAAAAATCTCCACGGGAGACAGAACCCGTCTCAACACACCCAGAACCCTCACCTGCCTCAACAACCACGCAGTCGCAACCGTCACAACCGAGGTCAGAGCTAATCCCAGAATCACACACCACTCCACCTAGGCAGACCCGTCTTGGAAGGAAAGTCACCTTCCCTAAGAAGTACAAGACATATATTTTCTTCTAATTGATAATGATCAATTATCCTGGGAGAGAGGCTTGTCGCAGTGTGCCCAAACACCACTCCCACCTTTTCTTAAACAACCCCGGATATGCCTGCCGGTAGAGAAAGGTCACGACCCTTGTGTGCTAAAAATAGCAACGACATCCTTTCAAACTGACAGAAACACACAAAACTCAATTTTCGCCACTAAACAAAAATAAAAGACCTTTAATTTCGAACCAAAATTAATTTAAATACAGTCAACAAACACTGAACACACTTTTGACTGTAATTAAGGAAGAAAATATTGAACGCCCTAAAAAACATTGGATTCAAAATAGAGATAAATACAGGCACAACTATAGTAAACTTCCTTGACGTCACTCTTAACCTGATCAACAACACATATGAACCATACAAAAAAGAAAATGACACACCAACTTACGTACACACATCCTCCAACCATCCACCATCTATCATCAAACAAATACCAAAATCAATCAGCCACAGACTATCTGAGAACTCATCTAACATGCAAATTTTCAATAGCAAAATAGCACCATACAACAAAGCACTAAAAGCAAGTGGTTACACACAACAACTACAATATATACCTCCACAGCCAAAACGCAGAAACAGAAAGAGAAACATTATCTGGTTTAATCCACCATATAACAAAACTGTTAAAATGAACATAGGCAAAATATTCCTAAACTTAATAGAAAAACACTTCACTGAAGAAAACAAATTATCAAAAATATTTAACAAAAATAATGTAAAGATCAGTTACAGCTGTACAAAAAACATAACAGAAATAATCAAAAGCCACAACAAAAAATGACAACCTACAAAAAATGTAACTAAGGATCCAATATGCAACTTCAGAAACAGAACAACATGTCCTCCAGGGAAATTGCCAAATTACGAACACAATATACAAGGCCAAGGTAAGTACAAACAACAACACTATGCACTACATCGGTGCCACGAAGGTCCATTCAAGATGAGGAATAACAATCACAACCTTTCATTCAACAACAGGAAATATTCGAATAGCACAACACTTTCTACATACATATGGCAGCAAAAAGACAAAAACATCACACCAACAATAAGTTGGAAAATATTGAAAAAAGCCCCTGCCTACAACAACATTACGAAAAAATGCCTACTTTGCCTACACGAAAAAGTAGCAATAATATCCCACAAACCGCAAAAGAACTTGCTAAACAAAAAATCAGAGATAATCTCCAAATGTAGGCATGAGAACAAGTACCTATTATCTGAATTCATACCAAACGGATAAAACAGACAATCACAATTTAATTTCAAGATACCATCAAAATAATTGCACCTATCATTATTATAATTGCACCACCATTAGTAATCACTTTTACCACTTTACAATATCTATTAACTATCAATATTATCATTACCACCAACACACAGCACCATCACTTACACATCACACCCACTATTAACATATAATCCACTACAATCTTTATTACTCCCCAGCATATTTAATACCTTAAAAAACAATATGATCAGATATAATTTCCATATGTAACCATGAGAACAAACACCTATTACCAGGCAGCTTTAATATAATAACAATAATAATTTTGTAATTAAAATTAAAAAAATTATAGCAATCTTCAACTACCATAATTTTACACAGAATACCTATTATCAGGATTTATACCAAAATAAATTAATACATATAACAAAATAAAACAAAACACCAACAACCACTTTTTGGTTCAAGCTACCACCACTACCACCACTATAACTACATTCATGGTTTTATCATTCTCCCACCACCATTACTAATCATTTCTACCAATTTGCAATTTCTTCCATTTTACAATAACTATTAGCTAAATATCATTGTCTCCAATCCCTTGAAACATTACTATCATATCATATAGACCCGTTATTAAATTAAACATCACCATATAAATTAAACAATAAGGATTACAAATTTTTACCTGTAACATATACACAGTCACCAAAAACAAACAAATAACCAGCTTTAAATATAACAAATAAACCCCCATTTTTTTCAAAAATTTAAAAATAAATATAAATAATAATAATAATAATTTTTACCTATCATAATTTTACACAAACCCCACCACACGTATATACATACATGCAAGGAAATATTTTTCAGCGAAAAAAAAAAAAAAAAAAAATATACATAATATGACATGGATACATTCATGAGACATTAACGAGACATTTTCATACACTTCCAATGTTTAAATTTCAACATTTCAACATACAAATGCGTATGTATAGACATAACACCACCCGTATACATACATGTGTCATAGCCAAAACTGCCCACATACGTTTATATATGTATGAGTCCCGACGGACGACCAAGTATGTATATGTGTCTGCATATATCGATGTTTGCGTTAGTACG